TTTTTTTGACCCACCTACGCGCTCCTGGCGCACCGAACCTTAATTCTAATAGAATTGGAGGTGATCTTTTCAACAGGTGACTTGGTCCAGGTCGGCCCACCCAATCTGAAATTCGGGTGGTTTCAGGCCTCGAATGTAACAGGAAAATTGGATAGCCCGGGGACCAAGGAAAACTCGTCATTGCCTTTGGCCCGAACAAGCCTAAAGCGACGTCTACAATGACCCAGACATCTGGGAGACTAAACCAAATTCGGCGGTGGAGCCTACAACACGACAGCCTCATGGTCATCCATATAATAAATCGGATAGATTTTTGTCTACTACTATAAAAGTGGAACCTTTGTCGTCTTCTCTCCTAGCATCTTGACCCTCTTTCTTACCGCTTTCTTTTTTCTCCTGGAATCCCCGTTCCATCGTTTCTTGCAAGCATGGCCTAGTCCAAAACGCGACCATCGCCCCCAGTAGCAAGCCCGTTCACCATCGGTGGGAAGGCTAGGTTGTTGGATAAACTAATTCCATAACACTTGTTTTCTGGGATAAGGCGGTAGACCGTCAGGAAATGGGGTCAAAGGGGTTCTCCGAAAGTCGGTCTGCCCTATTCTAGCTGATGACACGTGACAAGGTAAGTCCAATTCAATTCCGGATCATATACTCATACACTTTGAAAGAACGACGATATGCGCCTTATGGTGATTTAGTGCAGGTATTCTTTTCTCCTTTCTGTCGGCATTGCTTTTTGTCCTTTCATCTCTTTCTACTGGTTCTTCCTTCTCGTCATGTATCATGTGTTACGACTTCATGCATCTCCCTCCTTCACATCCGCCAGGCAATGGGGTCGGTGGAGTTTTGACCGTCACCCTCGCAAGAGGCACGGTATCCCTAGTTGGTCCCCTAGGTTTATTAAGCCGATCTCCAACCTGGATACAACGGATGTAGCCCATGTTGGCCCAAAAACTAGATCCTGTATCGTCTTACTGTCCTCCATAATTGCGTAGAAATAAAGCACAGGGACCAAATTCTTTTCGTGAACGTGAGATTTACATTAATGTCACCAGTTGAAAAGATCACCTCCAATTCTATTAGAATTAAGGTTCGGTGCGCCAGGAGCGCGTAGGTGGGTCAAAAAAAGCTACTGTATTCGAAGAGAAATTACACGTATTTTACAAAGAAAACAATCGATAGCGTTATGTGCTCACGATAAGTCTATAGGCGAGCGCGGCCGAGAATGTTGCGAATAATCCTGACTGATAGTGCGCCAATGCGAGCCTCGACGAGGAGGGAACAATTCCGCTTTCCTGACAATTTTCCTCTGTTCCCTCAACTGCTACTCTGGTAGGTTATCGACGAGAACTCCGACAGGACGGAGCCTGCACCGAGTTTATCCCGGTTTCCCCTTATTCGCGTCCTGGCTCTAACTCTAGCTCATCCGATCCAAGGTATCATCGAATCAGAGACGATTGAACAGATTTAGCCAAGCAACACTTAGTGTGCGACCCCTATCAGCAGCCAGCTTCCGTTCCTTCGGTCGAGCCCATTTTGATGAGTTGCCTGGTTGAGACTGGGGTATCGGTCAGCCACCCAGTACCGAGCACAATATGGTGTGTGGAATTTTGCGAGGAAGGTTGGACCGCCGTTGCATCCGCTACGCTATTGTTAACTTTGCCTCCGCCGACTAGATATACACCAATGTACGATAAGCTGCTTTTTCATGAGAATATAATCGAAAGAAACTCACTGAGGACAATACTTGGGGTCAATTGACCTTGGGCAAGGAGGTCGACCAACGGATCAACTTTTTCCTTCCTCAAACAAACTGATTGGTGCCAATCTACTTCCCATAATGACATTATTTCCGGCACCTTCATCAAATTTGTCGACAGGACCCTCATATGGTTGGAAAAAGCCGGTAAGCACACGACTCTGAACGCTGATGTTCATGGGTCGACCCGCACATGATGGGTTGGAGATTCAAGTTAACCCTATTGATACCCGCAGAATTGGATGCCAATAGATTTGTTGCGAATATAGTTGAGTTTGTTGACGGGGTCCGGTGTGGTGGAAGGACATGCCCCGAAAAGCTTCGGGCACTGAACATTGGTTTTAGCAAAAGATACGCTTTCAAAGGCCTCGGTAGGATGATGGGGTATATTTTATGTTCATGTTGAAAGGGACGATGGAGGGGATCGCTGGTGAGTCCTGTAAGTCACTTTGGTCAAAACCTGCGACAAAGTGAGATTTTCCTGTAATATTTGACGGTATGAATACGCACACCAAATCCAGGGCCACCACCTCTCAAGGACCAAAACAGATCCTTGTTCTCGTAAGTGTTGACCCCGCGCAGTTCGCAGTCTGGGGTAACAACCTCAAACTCTAGCAAGCCTGAAATACTTTGGGTCAATTCAAGTCTTTCATAGATAGGAGATGATAACGCACTGTCAACCCTAAGTCCATACTGTGGACCGAGGGCGAGTGACCTCCACCCAGTATCCATCCACCAGCTGCACCAACAGAATAAGAGTCGCCACCGACAACTACGACACACGTTGACTCGCGGCTTCATAGACATTGTTGGCACTATGGAGCGAGAATTGGTGCAGCCATACCAATCGCCCATCTGGTTACCTGCCCAAGGAAGCCGGTATAAATGTTCATTAAAATATGCTTTCCAACGTCATCG